CACGCCCCCCCCCCCCCCCTGTTACCCCCGTTGCTCTTTCGCGCTTTCTCCAACTCTTTCTCGCTCGCTCGCGCGCGCGCTCGCTTCGGTCAGCCACGAACGGAGCCTAACCGAGGCTATCTCTATATCGGTCGGCGAGCAGCCATTATCGCGCAAACTATGTACGCACACGTGTATCGATGGCACGCTCGTTTTTTCCCGAAGCGTTTACCTGGCTGTCCGCTCTCCCTCCACCCCCGCGCTGCCCCTCGCGCGAACCCTTTCGTTACTTTTCTGCACAGGTATTCCGGACGATGCTCCCGTACGAGCTTCCTGCTTTTTGCTTCGAGCGGCGAGCTAGCTTTCTCGGGAAACGCTTCGTTTATTTATCGGAGCGACATTTTAGTCTGGAGTTTCGTTTCCAGAACGACGTTTAAATAGAGATAAACAAATGATCGGAGACAAAGATAGAGCCGTACGATTGGAATCGAATTTTAAGTGGCCCGTTAAAATCGAGTAATTTAACTCTGGATCGGTGGTTCGGTTTTCTCGATTTCCGAAATAATTTCGTTACTGTTTTTTAATACGCGCCACTCTATTTTAAAGCGGATACTTTCGGCTTCGATTCGAGATAAATGGTATTTAAAAAGTCCCACGAGAACACGGTTTAAATTCGACTCGAAGTATCTCTCGAGAATGCCTCTTCGAGATTATATTTCGGAACGAAGAGAAAAGAAGGCACCGACGCCGAGAGATAGAAGTTGGAAGCTGGAAGCTGGAAGCCAGGAACGTTTCGAAAGCACCGTTGTTTCGGTTTCGGTTTCGGTCGGGCTCTCGGGCAGCGAAGCGGCCTTTTAAGGTGACCGGCTCGCGCAGGAGTCGAGGATCGATGCTCCGGTTTTATCGCGTCGGATGTTTGCTTTAATTACCTTGTCCGCGTTGTCTTAGATTTAATTAAGAATGGGGGTACCGCTTTATTACCCTGGAGACGTTCGTCGGCGTGACCCTCTTCCCGGTCGCGCACGAGCCGGCAACAAATAACGGGTTTGCGGGAGAGAAGGGCAGAAGAAGACGAGGGCTCTGGGCACCGTGTGGAAGACGGTAGTGGGAGAGGACCCGGAGCACGGTCTCGCCGAGGATTCCTTCGGTGGAATCGATCCGGGGTCCGGTCGACGCGCGTTCGATACGCAGGAGACGGTTCCGCGGGTGCTGCCGTCCGTCGCCGCGCCGTCGCCGCACCGTCGCCGCACCGTCGCCGCGCCAAGCCGGAGCGAACGACTTCCTCGCTGCGAGTCGATTGCTTCTCACGGTTCCCATTATTAACCCGGCCGTAATTTATTACTTTCCGCCTTAATAAGCATAATAATCGCCGCGGCTCGCTGTTCGCGCGCTCGTAGCCCACGACCTCCGACCTCGGGACGATCCTTAAGGTAGCCTGCACGCGGTTGCCGATATTTATTACGATGATGCGTGCCGGTGCAGCCTCGAGTCCTCGTTTCGACGGAGCCTGTTCGCGATCGCAACGCTCCAATCGTAATCACCGTCCCTTCGGGGAGAATCCGAAGCCCTTTGGGACGGATAGGGCTTGTACGCCGACGGTACGATCCTCCGATCGACGAAGAGGAAACAAGATTTTGCCGGGTAAAGAGAACCAAAGCTACCGGGGAACCGCCGATCGCGATGCTCTGCCGCGATTTCGAGAAAGAGAACGCGAATCGTGCGAGATCGACGGTGGGAAGGAAAGAACGAAGAAGTTCGATCTCGAATGGCAAAGTCTCGAAACCTGAGGCCCGCGAATGGTAATAGGAGCATCGAACAAGGGGGCCAGAGGGGCGGAAGACGTGAAATACGAGTGGAGCTACGAGGGCGAACGATGAAATCGTAATTCCCGAGTCTCTTCTTCGTTTTAGCGGTCCGTGCCCGCGAACCGGGACCCTTTTCCTTCTCTATTTATAGCGGACTGGACCGATCGGGCCCCGACTGCTCCCCGACTCTCTCTTTCTCTCCCGGCATCGTGTATGCTTTTTGGATAGAGCCCCGTGTTCGGGACTACCAAACTCATATCGCTCGAGCCTCCCGGCGAGTGGCTTTACATCTGTGTTTAGAATTCGGCAGTCGATCGCCGGGTATCCGCTACAAATTGTTCGTCTCACGGATTCTATTCGGCCGACGATCGCGCGACAGACGAACTTCTGTCCCATAATTTTTTTCGAGAGGATTGCGCTTCGACGAGGCGACCGGGGAGGTCGTTGAGAGTTCGGAAATCGCGAGAAAGATTGCGAAAGACGAGAACTATGTTTCGATAGAAAACCAAGTTCGTTGTCGTCCTTCCGGCGCGATCCCGAGTCGCGGCGAGTCCCGAGAAGTCTCTGCGGGCCCCGGACACGGAGGGGCCCGGTACGGTTCCTACGGTTCCCGCGGTTCCCTCGCGAATCGTGGCCCGGTTCGAACTCGAGGAATTTTCATAACGAGCAAGCCTGGTAGCCGGGCGCTCCGGGCCCGAGGGAGAAAAAGGCGCCTTTAATGGGACACGTTGGCGCCCGGGTCAGGGTGGCCCCGTTGTTACTCGTTAATTCCTCCCGCGACGGAGAGCACGCACACTCTTGCCCGAGAAGAAGCAGAGAGAGGGGTCCCCGGGTGGCCCTCGAGGGGCCCCGGCTATTCTCGCGCGAATCCGTGGATAACGTAAACGAGCGCGATCCGAAGGTATGCGCCTGCAGTATGCGATCGAGAGAGAGAGAGAGACCCCCGAGCCTCCACCCTGGCTCGGCCTGGTCCGGCCTCCCTTTCTATCGGCAACGCGGACCCGAGCCACCGACCGGCAAAGTAGGAATAAAAACGCGAGACAATACGATGTCGACGCGACGAGGCCCGTGTCGGGTTCCCACCTCGAT